AAACTAAATTCTAAAAATCCTAAATTATCCTATAGAACTAAATTAATTTATAAAAGTGCAAATAAACTCTTAATAACAATTAACACACAATTCAATAGCAATTACGATAAAATCACACAATTTAGACATTAAATGCTAAAAATGCAACGTACATTATTTTTATGATTTTTTGTTCTTGTAAAACAAACTTAATTGCTCCTAATTATAGAATTAAATCTTAAATGCAAATGCGACATATTTTTGTATTTTTTTTATTAATCTAATAAATAAACATGCACGGACAAATACAAATAATTATCCAAAAATGCCACGAAAATTCTCAAAATTGCACACAAAGGAAAATTATTTTATTTTAAATTTTTGGAAGTAATTCTCACATAGGGCAAAAATCACGTGCTCACAATAACAAAGGGAGAATATATTTCATACTAGGTATGGAATAAAGTAGAAAACTTGTTTTATGATTATTGAAAGTAGTAGTTATGCTAATGTGGTGAGTTCACACTTGGTGAACATGTTAGAGCTTGCATGCATGAAAAATGCTAAGCCCATATAGACTCCAATGGTTGAATGACAGTGGTGAACTGAAAGTCAACAAACGATGCATGATTTTCTTAAATATTGGTAGGTATGTGGATGATGTTCTTTGTGATGTGGTTCTTATACAAGCTTGTCACATCTTGTTAGGTTGTCCGTGGCAATATGATAGGAATACTTTTCATGATGGAAGAAAGAATAGATATTCTCTTGAACTTAATGGCAAGAAGTATACTCTTGCATCTTTAAGTCCTTCTCAAGTGTTTGAGAATCAAAAGAGATTGAGAGAAATAATGGAAAAACAAAGGGGAGAAAAAAAAAGTGAGCTTGAGGGAAAAGAAAAGAAAGAAGGCCAAGAGCTAGAAAAAAAAGAGAGATGGTCAAGAGAGAGAGAGAGAGAGATCAACAACTTGAGCAAAGTGGTAAAAGAGGGTTTGAGTGATAAAAAGGAAAGTTTTGGTGAGCGGAAAGAGGCAAAGGAAAGAAAAAGGAGAGTTTGTACATAAAAGCCAAAGAGTGTTTGAACGCAAGAAAGAGGGGCTTCCCATTATACTGCTTACTTACAAAGAAGATTTGGTTAATTCTGAGTTACTAACTTCTTATTTGCCAAGTAGTGTTTCTTCTCTTTTGCAGGATTTTGATGATATCTTCTATGAGGATATCCCTAACGGTCTACAACCTTTGCATGACATTGAGCAGTAAATTGACTTTGTGCCGGAGCACAAATTCCAAATAGGCCTACTTATACGAGTAATCCAGAAGAGACAAAAGAGCTTCAAAGGTAAGTTGATGAATTACTTGAAAAAGGTTTTGTGAGAGAGAGCATGAGCCCTTGCTCAGTTCCCGTCCTATTATTCCTAAATAGAATTGGAAGGGGACATTCCACTAGCCCACTAGCCCATGTACTTATAGGAGTAATCCAGAAGAGACAAAAGAGCTTCAAAGTTAAGTTGATGAATTACTTGAAAAAGGTTTTGTGAGAGAGAGCATGAGCCATTGCTCAGTTCCCGTCCTATTATTCCTAAATAGAATTGGAAGGGGACATTCCACTAGCCCATGTACCGGTCTTATATACTCCATCTGTTTCAATTTAAATGACACACTTTCCTTTTTAATCCGTACTAAAAAGAATAACACATTTCTATATTTGAAAATAATTCAACTTTAAAATTTTCATGTTACTCACTTTACCCTTAATGAGAAGTTTTTATAGTTACCCAAATGTCATGGCCCCAAAAAGCGTTTATCCCTTAAGCTTTTAGGGTCACATGTTTCAAAAGTCTGTCTTTTTTTTTACTCTTAAATTTTTTGTCAAGTCAAACTAACTCATTTAAATTGAAACGGATGGGGTATTATTTTTAGCCGTCCATCTACTCGTAGCTTCTTTGGTAGATTCACCATGTGAATAGTTCATTCACCTTTTCTGTTTTAATCTCTCCTATAATAGAATGTACATCCTATTTCCATTAACATCTACACCTGCTGCTATCATAACAAGAAACTGCAAACTTCATTGGCCATACTTTAAGCATGTGAATGGTTCCAAACATGACTGCACGAGCAATAGTGACATTAATCATCTCAGATTAAACTACTGTGTAATGACTACCTGGGCTGGTTCANGCTACTTAGTTGTACTTTCTTGTGCACAGTGCAACTCTAATATTTTGGAGTTTGGTTGATAGGGGCAATAACGTAAAACTAAAAGAATTCCTCGAATTCACCAGCTAAATCATTGAATAATGTGACATAAGATATGATTATGTGTTTTAGATACGTTTCTCATTACTAAATTCTAAACTAGATTGTACATATATATAAAGCTAGCTGGCATTGATAATTTAAAATTCATAGTCAGAATATGGACAATATTATATTTCTTAATAATTCACAGTTGTTAATAGGTCTCATTCATTAATTATATTAACTTTCAAGTTTTGAGAATTACTTTATTTAAAATTTAATCTGTAATTATATTTAGGCAGCCAAATAGTACACTTGTAGTTAAACTATACTTATATCTCTATCAAGTTAGGATTCAACTATATAAATCCTTATTATATCTTTTGTTCTATGTAAACTTGTTTTGTTCCAATATAACTTATTCATACTATGCAGAGGCAGATTTACCTTGAGGAAAGTGGGGCACGTGAACCCATCCTACTTGATAGATCATATAGATTTCTTGTATAACTTTTGATAAAATTTACTATGTAGTGCAGTTGTCACCCATGGTCAAAACAAGAGGTGCTTCAAGTTCGAGCCCAGATGGGCACTCATAATTTTACTTTATTTAGCTCTTCCTCTCTTCTCCTGGTTTTTGTTCTACTTTTCTTTTTTGCTCCTTTCTAGTTTTCGTTTTCTTTCTCATCTTGATTCTTGACAGCATTACCAATCCTATTAATTCTCCAAAATTTCATGGTAACTAACAAATTAATGATTCGAATAGTAGCTATTAGTATTATTTTAATTTGAGATTTGTCTCTATTTTGAACTATTATAAATTTGTTTCACTATAAATAATTTATATGACTACAAGATCTTAAATACTCGATGAGACTTGCTTAAATATTTTTTTTCAAATTAAATTATCACATAATCATATTTGTATTCCAATCAAATTATTGAACTTTTGTCTATAACTTTTATAACGAAATATATACCCTATATATATATATATATATATATATATATATATGGTAAGCAGTTCACATATAAAGAATGAGTCCTATGCTTTGAGATTTTTTGGTATTTTTGTGCT